GTGATGACATCGATTCCAGGTCGTGTGGGCAGAGACGTAGACAGATCGTTGCATGCTGGATGGATCACCCTTTGGGGGGGGTAAGTTCCCCCCTGGCCAGCTGATCAGGGGTGGGGTGGGGTGACCTGGCAGCAGAGGGCCCCCCATCTCCTCCAGGGGGTCTGGCAACCCAAGAAGGGAAAGACCTGGAGAGCTGCTGGCACCATGAGCAGACAAGACTGACCTTGATGGGCTGATGATCTGATTTAGTACCAAGCCGCTTCACGTGTGACTCGTCTCTGACAAAGGGAACCTTGACTTTCGAAAGCTGATACCATGGAAATCTTATTGGTCTTGAAGGTGTTACTGGCAGCCCTGCCGATGTAAGCCGAGCCCCATCTAGCACCAAGAGTGGCCAACGAGATGCATTTAGGAAGCCCACAAACTGGGCATGCTCAACAGCCCTCCTTATGAGGGCTCTCTACTACCCTGGGCAGTTAGCCCTCTACTACCCAGAGATATACTGCTGCAGAACACAGAGGCTTTGCTGAGCTTATCATGGGTAAGAGCTGCAGAAAGACCGCGGATATTATGTCTCCCACCCTTCCTCCCTTTAAAGCCATCTAAGTCAAGGAGCTGCGGTGGCTCAAGTGGTTAAGACGCTGAACTGCAGGCTGTGGAAGGTCGGTAGTTCATCAGTTCGAGACCCGAGTGTGCTGCACGATGGAGGGAGCTCCCGTCTCTGGTCCCAGTTCCTGCCAACCTAGCAGTTCGAAAGCAAGAAACTGCAAGTAGATAAATAGGTACCACTTCGGTGAAAAGGTAACAGCGTTCCGTGCGCCTCGGTGTTTAGTCATGCCGGCCACATGACCACGGAAATGTCTTCGGACAGCGCTGGCTCCTCAGCTTTGAAACAGAGATGAGCACCGCAACCCTGGAGTCGGACTCGACTGGCTTTCGAGCAAGGGAAACCTTTACCTTTTACCTAAGGCAAGGTAATATTGTTGACAATCCCAGTAAAGAGCCACTGGCAATTTATCAGGTTTACAGGTGGCACCCCGGTGGATGTTGTTGTGGTTGCCCGGATGCCAGAGAATTGGCCTCATGCTGCTTTCACCAGCTCCACCCTCCAACCCTCCCTCTTTCTCGCCTCCTCTGCTTTCTTCTCCTCTTTTGTTTCCATTCACTGAGAAGGATAGAACCGTCCCCGTCCTCCCCACCCCACCCCACCCCGGTCTTCTATTTTCCTTAACACATTGAGCAAACCGAGTTAACTCCCCAAGGTCTTTCTGCAGTCTGGAAGAGATGCCAGACACTTAAGCCGTGAACACGTTTCTCTGGGGTATGTCCAAGCTGTGATTCCTCCCTACAGCTGAGCAAATCAAACACCTTTTTGATAACACGGGAAGATGGAACGAAGCTGCTTGGAAAAGACCAGGGGCTGGGAGGAACACAGCGTCAGACATTTTTCGCTATGTCTGGTTTACAAAACTCCACCTCTCTGCACTGGGCCTACCTGAGCACTTTCTCCAGCTCCTGGGCAGTTAGCAAGCTCTACGTGAGCCCAGCATGGCTCAGCCAGCCACGCACCTGGGACCAAAGGCCATGGTGATATTTCTCCCCTCTCAAGGAGAGTTCAGCAGCCTTGGGAGATGAGAGACTGAGGAAAAGCTGAGCTCCTCTATGGTAGTGGCGGTAGGAAGTGCCGTCAGGTTGCAGCCGACTTTGGGTTTTCAAGGCAAGAGATGTTCAGTGTTGGTTCACCATTGCCTGCCTCTGCGTAGCAACCCTGAACTTCCCTTGGTGGTCTCCCATCCAAGTACCTACCGGGGCCGACCCTGCTTAGCTTCTGAGATCTTATGGGAGCAGGCTAAGCTGGGCCATCCAGGTCAGAGCAGACACGAGCAGAGGTGGTTTGCCATTTCCCACCTCTGCGTAGCAACCCTGAACTTCCTTGGGTGGTCTCCCATCCAAGTACCTACCGGGGCCGACCCTGCTTAGCTTCTGAGATCTGGTGAGAGCAGGCTAACCTGGGCCATCCAGATCAGAGCATAGACGAGCAGAGGTGGTTTGCCATCGCCCATCTCTGTGTAGCAACCGTGGACTTCCCTGGGTGGTCTCCCATCCAAGTACCTACCAGGGCTGACCCTGCTTAGCTTCTGAGGTCTGATGAGAGCAGGGTAACCTGGGCCATCCAGGTCAGAGCAGAGACGAGCAGAGGTGGTTTGCCATTTCCCGCCTCTGCGTAGCAACCCTGAACTTTCCTTGGTGGTCTCCTGCTTAGCTCCTGAGATCTGGCAAGGTCAGGCTAGCCTGGGCCATCCAGATCAGGGCCCCGCTCAGGTAGGGAGAAGAATATTCCCACCACTTTCTTGCTGCAGTATTTTTCCCCTTGTACTGCATTTTACACCCCTGAATTACGACGAGCAATATTAAAAAATCTGGAATGAGAGCCCAAGGATGGAATGATATGGAGCACTCTAGGTGTCCCTGTTAACCAGGACATTAGCCTCAAAGAGGCAGGTGACCAGAAAATTCCAGTTTCTAGGAGGCAGACAGTGTGGGTGTGGGTGTGGGTGGGTGGTGGGTGGATCTTCAGGCTATCTTTGTGAGCCTCAGAATCAATTGTCGAGGCCATCTTTGTGAGCCTCAGAATCAATTGTCGGAAGCTTCTGTCTAGTTCCATTGCAACTTTCCTCTAAGGAGCTCAGGGCAGCATATACCGTTCTCCCTGCCCCATTTTACCCTCACAACTACCCTGTGAGGTAGGTTGGGCTGAGAGACAGCAACGGGTCAAAGGTCACCTGGTGAGCTTCATACCTAGATAGGGACTAACAGGAAGCCAAGGTCAGTATTGTCTACTCAGACTGGCAGCGGCTCTCTGGGGTCTTAGGTGGATGTCTTTCATGTCATCTATTGCCTGGTCCTTTTAACTGGGGGTGCTGGGGATCGAACCTGGAACCTTCTGAATAGGGATGGGCACGAACCAGCTCACGAACCAAAATTCGAGCTAAATATGGGCTGGTTCAGAGCTCAGGGACTGTTGTTCAGGGAAAACATAACACAAAAAGAATCTTAATAACGACCATACTGCCGACTCATCTGGAAGAAGCTGCAAAACCCGGCATCCTGTCTGTCTCCCAAGGGGCTCACAGTGGCATGCAGTTCCCATCTCACCTACCCAACAACCCTGTAAAGTAGGTTAAATGGCTGAGAAGAGATGAAGAGGAGATTGGATTTATACCCTGCCCTTCACTACCCAGAGGAGTCTCAGAGAGGCTTACAGTCCCCTTTCCCTTCCCCTCCCCACCACAGACACCCTGTGAGGGAGGTGCGGCTGAGAGAGCTGTGACAGAAACTGCTCTTTTTCAAGGACAGCTCTGACAGAACTTGTGATTGACCCAAGGTCACACCAGCAGCTGCATGTGGAGGAGTGGGAAATCAAACCCATTAGAGTCCAGACTCCTAACCACTACACCCAACAAGCTTCCATGGCAGAGTGGGGATTTGAATCTGAGTCTTCCAGATCCTGTTCTAACACGACACTGCATTGGCTCAGGAGGCTCCATCTGGTTTAGAACGGTCTACAACAATCGATGCTCTGATGTTTTTGCAAAAAGGGATGTAGATAACGGCACTCTCCTGCTGTGTGCCTCAGAGACACAAGTATTTTAAGGATACTGCATGAATGTGGAGGCTCCGTTTAGCAGTGTTGGTCAATAGTCACAGATAAGCCTGTCTTACATGAGTTTGTTTAATCCCCATTAAAAAGCAATTTCTAAGCGGATGACTATAGCCACGTCATCTGGCAGTGAGTTCTGGGGGGGACCAGGTACTTTGTAACCACGAAATTGCAGTACTTTCTCACACACTGGATGATGCGCTTTCAGTCCATTTTCCATGCACTTCCAATGCATTTTGCAACTGGACTTTACTGTGTGAAGTGGTAAAATCTGTTGGCAAAGTATTGTGCGGAAAGTGAGTTGAAAGTGCATCATTCAGTGTGTGAAATCACCCATGACTCATCCTAAAAGGGTGGGTTTCTTAAGGTCAGCAGTGGTCCAAACCAGGAGCTCTGGAAGCCAAACTTAGTCACCTTACTTTTTTTTTTTGCCGTGGTGATAGCTTTACCAGATAAAAGAGCTGTTTCTGGTTGCTCACTAGCACCACCAGTATGACTGGCCAAAGTGGGGTATTACAGCAGTTTATTTATTTATTTGATTTATAACCCACACCCTCTACTCAACAGAGGGAGTCGTTCACAGCATTAAAACTTAAAATATACCATAAAACCTAGAAATACAAATAAATACGATAAAACAGATTCTAATTAAAATTCAACCGGCCATCAGCTCTGGGACGAATCTGCCCAGCGAGCCAGATCACTCATTCTCTTGGTGAATTAAATACTGCATAAAACAAGGCAGCCTTGTAAGCTCATGGAGCTGGTTCCACAGGGCAGGGGCAGTCACCTAGAAGGCCCTTCCCCTAGTGGATGACAAATTCATGGGCCAGGTGCCTGCTGGAGGCCCTCAGCTTTCAACCGAACAGATGATGCAAATGGTTCCCTCGGACCTCTAAAACCTCTGATTCTGATCAGCTTCTTAGTCCGAGCGACTCTTCGAGGCAAAGACTGGGGGGCTCAAAGACTGCCTTCCCTGCCCCTCCCTCCAGCTTCCCAGTTTGTGGAGCTCACCGGTGTGTTTTGCTTTACCTCCTCCGGACTGCCGGCCCTGGGAGCTTTTAAAAAAGCCCATGCCACGTGACCATACGCATCCCTCGTGTTGAAAATTAAACCCGGACTCCTGGCAAGAAAACAAAGGGGACAACAGCTGGCATTTGGGAGAATTTTGTTGTTTCCAATTTTTCCGGTTCGTCTTCAGCCTTCTGGGAGTTCCTTCCTTCCTTCCTTCCTTCCTTCCTTCCTTCCTTCCTTCCTTCCTTCTCCTCTCTTCGATCTTCCTCCTCCTCCCACTGCTCCTTCCTCTGCCCACCCAGCGGGCAGCTGGCTCCTTGGCTCCCTAGGCGGCCCTATCAACATGCTGTTTGCAGATCGGGCAGATCTTCCCAGTCCTGGGCTGGATGAGGAGCCACGTGTTGATGCAGGTGCTGTGATAGGCGTGGGTACAAGGGAGAATCTTCAGCTGGTCGCCCGCCTCATACTCAGCCATGCAGATGACACACAGGTCATACTTGTCCCCCGCCTTGAAGGTCTTCACCTTGATCCCCTGGTTCCTCCAGCACCATTTCATGCACCCGGCCACCATGATGAAACTGATGCCCATGCTGAGGAGGATCACCACCCCAAACTCCTGGATGAACCCGATGATCATTTGCTGGGTACAGTAGCCGGGCCAATATTGCAAGTGATGGCGAGCTGGATCCCAAACGGAGATCCCGACGTCGTCCCAACAGGGATTGTAGTAGCCCCGAGGGACCACCACGCTGACTTGGTTTTTGTTTTCGGAATGGACTACCTGTTTCAGGAGCTTGGCGGCTGACTCCCCAATGAAGAGGGAAGGGATCGAGATCTGCTGGCGTGTCTTTTCCACTTCGGCGGTCATGCTCACCAGCAAATCGGAGCGGAGGTTATGAATGACGGCTGCTTGGTAGCCAGCTTGCTGGGCATGGAGCACCTTGATGCTGAAGGGGCAGTCATACCTGCGGATGAGCACGATGGAGCTTGAGGGAGACCCTTTGGAGTCCGGTGGGGCTACTATAGGGTGGCAGGCATTGGCAGGCACAGCTTCAAAGAGATAGCCCTTCAGACCCACGTGTGAGAGCGGTGGGCCAAAGCACGCAGGCACGGCTTGAGAATCAAGGCAGGTGGAATTGTGGGAGAAGACCAGGTGGACAAAGGGTTTCCCCAAGATGGCCTCTAGTAGCAACGGAAAGATGAGCAAGGAAGGATGAGACAGGAGTAAGAATCTCATGCTGGAGATTAGATGGGATGGTGGAATGAATAGTTTGGAGGAACATCTAGGTCTCACGTGGGCATCTTGGAGTGCTGTTTTGGGGTCTTCACAGCAACATCAACAGCAGGATAGGGATGGTGATGGTGCCTTCCTTAGCAGTGGCTTTCAAAAAGCCCTTTGACTTTGGCAGTTCACTGTGGTTACCCACCTCTCACTTTCCACTATAGTTCATGCCCCCCCAACTCAACACAAGTTGTTTGAAGCAGCATAAGCCCTTATGACATCACTCAGTCAGTGGCTGAACTGTATCCTTGATTGATGAATAGAGAGGAAGACAGATGTGTATGTGTGGAGAGAGACAGAGGCAGAAAGAGAGAAAACCATTCAAGACAGGAGAGAATCTTTCCTTTACCCCAAGGTCTAATAGGATCGCCCCCATCTCTATCCACTCTTCAGAGATCTAGGCACCCAGGGCCTTGAGAAATGTCATTTCCACCAGGCACCTAATTTCACATTTCATAGGACTCCAAGAATTTATGGGGTATAAATCCAAATCCAAATCCAAATCCAATTCCTCCTCCTCCTCCTCCTCCTCCTCCTCCTCTTCTTATCTCCTTTTTTAGGCCAAACTATGGGATGCAAATACCAGGTATTGGAAACTTCTCTGGAGCAGGAATCAACCAACAAGAGCAACTGGTCAGAATCAAGTGCTTCAGGACCTTGGAGAGTTCCTGGGATTAGAAGAGGTTGCTCTGATGGAGGAAAGGGTACAACTGATAGCTCAGAAACTCAGTTTGTGGACCATGACTCCTGGGTCATGACCACTGGCTTCAGAGCCCTGGCTAATAACTTAAAGCTTATGAATCTGGGTTTCTGGACCATGACCCCTGTTATTTGATTCTTTGTGCCTGGCTGTCAGAACCCACAGCCAACAACGAAGTACACGCATTCAGGAACGGTTATACTTTTATTGCAGAGCTATAGATGCAGTAACATAGGCACTGTTAAGACTGGCAGTGGCCCCATGGGTATAATAGGATATAGGGTATTCGTATGCACCCCCCCAACAGCACTGGCCAATTAGGCACCCTCCTGCGCGCGGGATAAAGTTTAGAGACCTTTAGGTAGCTGAAGCTGAGAACAAACACTCTCCCACGACACCTAGGGAAAACCCAGACACCACAACACCCTCCTGCACATCTGTATAGATAAGCATTTCGGTGCACAGTAGAGAAGCACAGAAAGGAATGCAGTAGCAATTAACCTGAAAGGAAAGCAATAGCAATTAACCAGATACAGACCAAACTCCCCGACTTTCATGGCAGCATAGCTGACACTGGCTCCTGGGCCATGATTACTGGTTTCCTATTTTCTGGCCCTTGACCTTGTTGCCAAGCAGCCACTTCTAGTGGCACTAATACAGACTCTTAAATATGACTGCAAAGCCGAACTGTGAAATAAGCACGTCATGGCAATGGACAGGACTGTAGTCATGAAGCAGTGTCCTTATATTGGACTGAAGGCATGTGCCCTAGCGAAGGGGAACCTTGCACTTCAGCAACATGCCAAGCCAGATGTGGACCCATGGACTACAAGATGCCTCTCACTCCTGCACCTCTGCAGCTATGCCAGCACCAGAAGGCAGACCAACAGCCCTGACCACTAAACCACTAAACACCACTAAACACACTAACCACTAAACACACAGAGCCAGTAGCAGATCCTAAAAGGGAGCCATGCTCTTCAAACAAGCCAGGAGATTCCTGTACTTTATAGGGACTCTGGGGCAAGTGATGCTCTGTCATCTTGGTGCTTGGGGGGGGTCAACAGTGGGAGGGCTTCTAATGTCCTGGCCCCACTGGTGGACCTCCTAATGGCACTGGTATTTCTGGCCACTGTGTGATACAGAGTGTTGGACTGGATGGGCCTTTGGCCTGATCCAAGATTGGCATCTCTTATGTTCTTATGTTCAGACGCCATGAAGAGCTCCCTTCTCCACCATGCAGTCAAACCCTCCCCCCACATATTAATATCACCAGGTGAAGCACGTACTCCTCTTCAGCCTAAACAAAAAGATATGCCTGATTATGCCAGAAGCAAGCCATCATGTCTTCCAGCTGCCCATCAAGATAATGCAGCTGTCAAGCATTGGGTTGTTAATCCAATGCAACCAGTCCTGCAACCTGAATTGTTCTTTTCATTTCCTTCTTTGTCTTTCCCCATTCTTGAGAGGGGCCACTGTTACCCAAGTCATTGTTTCAATTGCCCAACAATTAATCCCTTTTTCTGACCCATTGGGGAGCAGGTGACCAGAAAGGTGCTAGCCTCAAGTCACAAATTAGGTATAAAAAGAGAGCATCTAGCCACTGCTCTCTCTCTTGCTTTCATCCTCCTAATCGCACCCTATCTTGCTGGTTCCATTCTTAGCACTGTTTGGAACTTCTCACATGTTGCTGGCCAACTCACGACCCCTTTCCCATAAGCCTAAACAAAAAGATATGCCTGATTATGCCAGAAGCAAGCCATCATGTCTTCCAGCTGCCCATCAAGATAATGCAGCTGTCAAGCATTGGGTTGTTAATCCAATGCAACCAGTCCTGCAACCTGAATTGTTCTTTTCATTTCCTTCTTTGTCTTTCCCCATTCTTGAGAGGGGCCACTGTTACCCAAGTCATTGTTTCAATTGCCCAACGATTAATCCCTTTTTCTGACCTATTGGGGAGCAGGTGACCAGAAAGGTGCTAGCCTCAGGTCACAAATTAGGTATAAAAAGAGAGCATCTAGCCACTGCTCTCTCTCTTGCTTTCATCCTCCTAATCGCACCCTATCTTGCTGGTTCCATTCTTAGCACTGTTTGGAACTTCTCACATGTTGCTGGCCAACTCACGACCCCTTTCCCATATTTTTATCCCTTTTTCACTGCAGAGTCAACTCATCTCATCAGACAAGTAACGTATCGCCCCCATCAACGATACGTCCTGCTAATGCAACTGTCTCTTTACCTTTCTTTCTGAATTCCTAGATCTGTATCGCTTGTGTGTATGCTTTATTTTACATTGTATGTGTAAGAATCTCTTAGTAAAGAAATCACTGCTTTATAAATCTAGACTCAGTGTCTATTTCTGGGCTCTGGGAAATCTAACTCCCGTATACATAGGTTATTGGTCCCATAGTTAATGCCTATTGCTATTTAGTATTCACAATTCCCCACAATTATTAATAAATAAGGCAATTTGGCTAATAACCTGTGGATCCCATCTTGCAACTGCAGGCTTATAATCCTTGGTTTCTGAACCACAACCCTGGTTTCACAGTCTCCAACTTGGGGCTCCTGGCACTGACTCAAAGGGTAATTCCGCACTAGACCTTAAATCCTGATTCAACCCTGTCCCCAAGCTTACATTCTACACTACACTCGAGTTCACCCCTGTAATTATCTCAGGATATTTTTTTGTTTCCAAATTACGTTGAGGTCACCCCGGTTTTGCCCCACATATGTCCCGGGATAAACAGATACCGTTATAACCAGGGATGAATGCAAGGTATTGTGTCATGAGATGAACTCTGATAAAACCAGGGATGAGATCCAAGTGCGAAAAGAACCAGAGTGTGCCTCAGTGCCGACAGAGGGCTTGCTAGAAAAATCCTAGAGCTGGAGAACCACAGGGTCAGAGATATGTCAGTTGATTCCACACAACCATCCCCCGCATTTGGGTCAAACCCCACAGGAGCATCGGATATACCCACCCCCTCCATTTCTGTCCTTCGGTCCATGAACAACAACCGGGGCCTTCGTCCCTCCACCAGGTGGGCTTGCAAAATACGTCGCCTTTGCTTCTTTGGGACATTCCCCTCGTTCCTCGCTCCTCTGGGCCCGTTGCAATCTACTTGCTCGTTAGGATTTTGATTTATTTAAATGTCAACAAGCCACAAAGGAGATGCAGCAGAGGCTGTGTGTGAGAGGAGCAATTACAGGGAAAGGTCCCGCTTTGGCACTTGAAGGAAGAGCGAAACTTGATGGAAGGGAGAAACAGTCAGCTTTGTTTTTAACTGATCACTCGCCAAAGTCCATCTCCTTCCCTCCCCTTCTGTTCTCTCCCCTCCCCTCCTTTCCTCCTTCCTTTCTGTCCCTCCCTCCCTCTTTATCTCTCTTTTTTCTTTCTAACATTCAAGTTTCTACCACCCTTGGCTGCGATGAGCTGCTGGGAAATGTGTGGGGTGTGATAACATCTGAAATTGTGGAAGCCACAGGGATGGCTGAATACAGAGGCTGGGGAACAAAACCTTTGGTCAGTTCCATTTCCCTGCCTGTAACTAGCAAAGGTTGAATAAATTCTGCAATGTACTCATGTAAATTATCTCAATGAGCATCGTTTACGTAGGTTCGGCTTCTCCTGGCTCTTGGCAGGATTTGATTTTTTTAAAAAAGGTTTGGCATACACGCAAGTCCCCTGACCAGCTGGAATCAAGCCGACTTGCTGTTTTCTCAACCGGCTGCATAGTTTCCAAAGGTGGTCCCCTGCGGAGCTCACAGCAGTAGTCCGGCTTGGAGGTTCTTCCAGCATGTGTCGTGGTGGCCAGATGGTGGTTTCCCAGGAGTCAGCATGAAAGGATCCCTGGAAGAAGCTAACGCAAGAGGCCCTTGGGGTGGGGTCTCAAACTGTACCTTTCAGCAATAAACTCTACGGCGGAATCTTTAACACCGGCACAGCAGGTTTATCGCAGCACTGCAGTGTTGTGATCCAACAATATAGAACCTGCTTTCACTGTTTCGACAGTTGTTATCTGGGCCCAGTGAGCTAGGCCCACAGGCAAAGCTTACATAAAACCTTTTGTTGTCATTCGATTGCCTCACTGTCAGCTTTACTGAGGAGAGGTATTGTAAAGAAAGAGTTCGTAATTAAGGAAAGGTTGCATGTGCTATTCCCACAACGCAGTCCCTGGACGTTTCCTTACACTGTGGGTTGCCATTCTGGATCCTGCTACAAAATCTGCACAGGAAATGGGGACGTGGTATC